AGCGTATGCTTACTTTTAACTCTCGTTTTATATATAGAAAATACAAATACTAATATTAGCATGATTTAGTAATTAATTGAAGGTTTGTTCAACTTCCCTGCATTTATGTTGCTCGAGAGTTTAGCGATACACATCGACAAAGCTATATATCCGAATGAATGGATATCGTTTCATTTTATAAATCTGCAATGCGCAAAACAATGAACGTTAATGAGAGAATAATATTCGACACAATAAGCATTCTCAAAATTTTAGAAACGTGACTAGAAAACAGAACCTAGATTTAGTGATGCACAATCTCGCCTCTCTCCTCCATTATATAAACGAACAAAACGACAAATATAAATACCTTGTACGCTGTTTTCACAGACTTTCGATCGAGTGAAATTTATCACACGCAAATAACATAACTGATATATACAATCTAAACAGTTTCGCAAAAACAAAAGAAATCCGAGGAGAATTGGCGGGCCGCGAAAATTTTCGAAATCAAGCCGCCGGTTGTGCAGTCGCTGATCCAAATGGCAACTTGTGCTACGATAAACTTCATTTTAGACACAGTTAGCAACGATGCAACAGTTAAAACAGTTAGCTTTTAACAAGCGTGTCCGTGCACACGTAACGCAGAATAGATTGACCCCCGAGCGGATAATCGCAAACGACGAAGGAATAATGACGAAAACGGTGAACCTTATACTCGTACGTGTGCACGAACGATTTGCCCCGTCCCTGACGCGTTGTTCAATTATGTTAATTGTATTAACGACGTTGAAGTAACCGTTTCAAGTGATAACAGCGAAGACAGAGAGACATAATCGACGTAATCGCTTGCTCAATGCAAAATAAATCTGCACGTCTCACGTCACATCCTCTCCTTGCCCACTTTCCCTCTATCTTTGAAAATCGTTCGTCTGATCAACGATTCTCGAGACTCTAACGAGATCAACGCGCGACTTTAGTTTCGTTTACCGGAGATAACGTTCGAATATTTCCATAAATGTTCCGTTAAACATTCGCGTAAACAACGTACGATTATTCAGGAAATCATCATGACTGAACATAGTTACGTTAACACTAGAACTATTTGACGAATGGTCGGAACAACCGATTTATAATTTTCATCGGGACATTATTTGAACGTGAAATGATTTTCTTTCAGGGGTTTCAATGACTTTTTGTAAAATATATAAACGAAAGCTTGTGCAAAATGAAATTCTTCTGCTTTTTTTTTTTCTACGTTAAATACATCATAACGTTAAAATTTACTTCATGTATAGTGGTTTTTATTTATTTAAGTTCATCTTACACGAGCAAAATTTACCGTTGAAAATAAAAAGAA